GCTGTGAGGACCAGCGTCCCCCCAGTCCCGGCAACGACGGCGACCGTGCCCGTGTGCAGAGGAGGGGGTGCAGGCGACGGTGGGCGGGCGGCGGGAGCTCGGAAACGGGCGATCTCTGGTGTGTCAGGGTCGGACCCCCGCAGGGCCGGGGGGCCGGTGCTCACGGGGCCCTTTGTCCCCTGCGCTCACCTGCCCTCCAGGACACCTGTCCCTGACCCCTTCTCGCCCGGCCACTTCCCGACAGGGGCCTCCAGGTGCTGTCACCAGGACCCTGTGGGAACACGGACTTAGAGCCCCAGGTGCACACCTGCGAACGCTGAGCGTGAGACTCACGCTCTTGCACACACAGGCACACAGAGGCTCTCGCACCCACACACACACAGACATGCATGCAGACTCTTGGCACACTTGTACGTGTGTGCACACAGGCACACGATACACACTCAGGCTCTTGCACACACTCGCACACATGCACACTCACCAACATGCATGCACACGCACATGCTCGTACACGCACACGTGAGCATGCATAGAGACTCTTGCGCATGCGCACACAGCACATGTGCAGACTGGCGGGGTGGATGCCATGGGACCCGGGCATCCGGGAAAGCCGTGTGACGCGGTGGTGTGGGGTGAGACACCCCCCCCCCGAACCCAGTCTCTCGGGCCAGTGCGGTGGTGTCTCCTCCTGCCGCCTGGGTGGTGACGCGTCCTCACCCGCAGTGACGGACGTGGCCCACGCTCACCGAGGTCTCGGACCCTCTTCTCCTGCTGAGCGCTGGTCCCTCCGGGTCCACGTGTCCCCGCCTCGGCCCCGGGCCTGCGCACGGGGCGGCGTGCCTGGAGCCTGCGGGAGCACGTGTCAGCGCTGGCCTCCGTCTCCCTGGGTCCTTTCCTGCCGCCACGACCCCGACGTCCGGCACCCAGAGGGAGCTGGAGACTGTCTGGGTGGCCCCTGGCCCCCCGGGAGTCGGCCATCAACAGCCCCGCCTCCGCCACCACCCCGAGCGCGGCCGCAGGGAGGAGGGAAGCCTTGCTGTACGCGCTCAGGTGTCGAGTCTGCTGAAAGGGCGGCAGGCGCAGCCCGGCCTCGCCCAGGTGCACTGAAGACGGCACATGTTCTCCCGAGCGCCAGCTCCTGGGCCCCCACCGCCACCCCGCGAGCCACACCCCCAGGAGGCCAGGAGTCACCACTCAGCCTCCAAACGGACCCCGGAGCCGGCGGCCTCTGCGCTGGGCTATGAACCCAGTTTGCTCCTCCGTGCCCCGCCCCAGTGCCTGCAGGGCCCACGGCCCTGGTGCCGGAGCCACGACTCGAGTCCGGATCTGTTGCGGCCCGTGGCCTCGTGGCTTCTGGATTTGACGAGGGGATCCGAGAGACACGGCAACACCTTCCCCTGCTATCCAGAAGAGCAGGGCCAGAGCAGGCCAGGCAGCCCCGTGCGGCCGCGCGGGGTCAGGAGGGCCCTGGGGACACAGCGCAGTGGGCGGGCAGGCCGCGGCCAGGGCAGCTGACAGTCCTGGGTGACGCGAGAGGGGCCCGGCTGCTGGCCGGCCCGGCCGATGAGTCACCCCGGGCCCCCGCCCAGCTGTGGGGTGGCTCCCTGGACCCTCGCCCAGCCTGCTCTCAGCGGCACCTCGGAGCCTGGAGGAGACAAAGATGCAGCCACCCTCTGAGGGTCTGACCCCGAGGGGAGGGGCCGAGCGTGGGCCTCTGGCGTCTTCAAGGGCTTTTAGAAGGACCTCGGGGAACAGGCAGATTTCGGTGTCACAGACCAGAACGTTCCAGGGTGCCTCACTGCCATTCCCGTGGCCGCCTCCCAGCACGGCCGGGGTCCTGCGTGCCGAGGGTGTTGTGGCCATTTCCGGAGTCCACCCCTGCACCCCGGTGGTTTCCGAGGCCCCTTCCCGGGAAGGTGCCTGCGGCTCCCCAGGTTGGTGGCAGAGGGCGCCAGCGCCAGGCAATCTGGGCGCCGAGGGCCCCCTGGGCTGGGCAGGCCACTCTCATGGGGCAGGTGCTCGGAGCCCACCGCGCAGCGTGCAGAGGAACCCTGGGGCTCCACCTCGGGGTGGCAGCAGCTCCTCCCCGGCTGGTACAGATTTTGGGTCCCCACCTCCCCTTCACAGGCTGCAGAGCCACTCTCCAAGGCCCACCTTCCCGGCCTAGGTGGGCGGTGTGTGTGGGGGGGACACGTGGAAACCCACGATCCCTGCTCTCAGGGGGTTCACCAGCGACGCAGGTGGGATGGCCACGGAGTCCGCAGCACACGGCACGGGTGTTCAAACCAGGGGCCTGCGGGGAGCACAGTGACAGTGGAGTCACCGTGGAGGGGCCCCGGGGGCCATCTTGGGATCAGCGTCTAATCACCACGCTGTACACCTGCAGCTAATAGGATATTGCATTTCAACTGTTGCTGAAAAAATAATTGTTTTAATGGAGGCACCAACGAGTGATACAGTGACCCAGAGCGGGAGGTCGGGGAGTTCACACCAGGCCGAGAGGAGGGGCCGTCCGAGCAGACGGAGGCCCCGGTGGGTGGACAGACAGCTCCGCGCGCAGGAGGGGAGCGGGCCCTGGGTGGGTGAGGAGGAGGAAGCGGCGGATCTTGGGGGGACCCAGCCACGGAGAGCCTTGGTCGCCCTGGGAAGAGCCCGGGCTTACCTCCGAGGAGAGACCCCATCCGTGCCGCTGAGGCGGGGCAGGGGGCCTGAGGAGCCCCTGCCCTGACGGAGGCCGCCGGCACCGGGGACTTCCAGTGTCGGCGGAGACGGGGCCTCAGGCAGGGCTCCAGCCATCCCGGTTCGAAAGTCCAGTCGCACCTAGACGCCCACCGCACACCTGCCGCGGAGCCCCTCCCAGCCGGGCGTGCGCCTCCCCTCTCCCTCCTCTGCGCCCCTCCCCTGCTTGCTCTCCCGGCCTCACTGCCCTCCCTCCACTCGACGGGGAGACGGGGGCGGGTCCGGCAACGCCCTGCACCTGGCAAGCCCCCCGGGTGCCTGTCGCCAGGGGCGCAGGGGGTCTGGCTCTTCAGGGGGCCCCACAGGGGGAGAACCCGGGACAGGAACCAGGTGCAGGCAGTGAGGGCCCTCCTGGACCTCGCGTTTGATACGACAGCACCCCCGCGTGACCCCATCGCCGCAGCCCCCCCACGGCCTCTCCCGGCCGGGGTCCTCTGGCCTTGGCAGCCGCTCCCTCGGGCTCGGACCTGCAGGTACCCTGAGCTGGGCTTCCCCGCAGGGTGTCCACGTGGCCCCCAGGAAATGCCACCTGCTGGCCGGACCGAGGGGGCCGGGGACACTCCGGGCTGTCCGCTCTCCCTGCCCGTGTCCCGCCCTCAAGACGGGCCGGCTCTTCGGGGAAGGCCCAGGCCTCCGTGTCCACGGGCACCCCGTCACGCTCACCAGGGTGGCCCTGTACTCGTGCCACGGAGGAGCCTCAGCCAGGAGTGGGGCCCCAGCCTCCCTCCCTGCAGGAACCCACATCCAGGCTTGGCGGGGCTCCCTTGTGGCCCCTTTTCTGGCTTGGGGCTGGGGCCCCCTCCCTCCTCCTGGGCCCCCTGGCAGGGTGGGTAAGGCCCAGCCCTGCCCCCGAGGCCCCTCATTCTTAGCACCACGTCCACCTTCTGTGAGTGCAGGCCCGAGGAGAACGTGAGTGCGGGTCCCAGAGTCACCTCCCAGTGCCTGGGAGTCGTGCGGCCACCGCTGGGAGGTAGTTCCCGCCTGGACCTCCAGGGGGCGCCTGACTCCTTCCCGCGCCTCGGGGCTCCAGCCAGCGTCCCCGAACAGGAGGACGCCCCGCTTCCCCGCCTGCTCCGTCAGGGACACTTTCCGGCAGTTTCTCCGTCTCCGCGCCGCTGACGTTTGGGGCCGGACACCTTGGTGGGGACTGCCCCACACATGGTGGACACTGAGCAACTCCGTGACCCTCCGACTGACCCCCGCCCTGTTTCTCCCCCAGGGACAGCGCCTGCAGGCATCGCTAAACCCTCGGGGGGCGGGAGGTGGGCCCAGAGCACAGCTGCCCCGGTGAGACCCCTGCTCAGTAGACAGAGGAACTCGCCGGAAGTTTCTGAGCGGGGCAGGAACTTCAGTTCTAACCCAGCGCCCTCGGGCCGGTTTCCCCGAATGGCAGGAGCGGGAGTGCGCCCCCTAGCGTACAGGCGCTGTCGGAGCCGCATCCCGTTCCCACCCCGACCACGGCCCTCGGAGGAAGGTGGGACCGCGCGTCCTTCGGGAGCGGGGCATGGGGGCGGGGGTGCGGCAGAGACTCCGACACCCGCCAAGCCCTGGTCCTGGCCCCGGCAGAGAGCTGACCCGCAGACCGTGGGCTGGCTGTGACTTCAGTGAGACGCGGCCCCCACCCTCCGGGTGCTCACCGTCCAGCACACAGTAGGGCTCCAAGGGCTAGAGCTGGGGAGGTTTTCTCTCATTTCCTTTTAAGGATGGCGATGTGGGGTTGGAGAATAATGAAAATAAAGTTGGTGGGCTCTGGTCTTCTCACTCTTGCTGGGTCATGGCAGGAACTCCATTTGTCGTTGCCATGCATGTCGTCCCCCCCCCCCAGGACCCACGACTCTTCCCCGGCTTCTCCCTCAACCCTCCATGCCCGCCCCACCCCCGGGCCAGGACGAGGCTCCTTCTGCTCATCACTCTCAGGAGGGAAAAACAGAACCAACAAGACAAGCCGACTCTGAAACACAGGGTTTCTTCCCCGCCTGTCCAGGGGCCGCCTGAGGACCCCGGCCCCGGTGCGCACCCCCAACCCCCCCCGCCTGCCCGCCCCCCTCTGACACACCAGCTCCGGCACTGCCGAGAGCCGGCATGTTATTTTATTATCCGTTCCTTTGCTTCCTCGGAGAGGGAAACGTCACGTAAACCTGTCACATGCACAGAGGCCGGGCCAGTTTCCCCAAGCACTTCCAGAAAGGTCCCCGGCCCCTGGGCCAGCGCAGAAGGGCGGCCCCTAACACCCACGCAGAACCCCACTCAGGAAAGCCGAGGCCGTAGAAAGGTGTCTTTATTAGAAGCGTCACGCTGTGGGGACAGGGAGGGGACGGGGAGGACCGTGGGCAGGGCGGGGCCACACACACCTGCCCGGGGCGGCTCAGGTGACCTGGAGCGGGGCCTCCAGCATCTCCATGAGGAAGGTGTCGATGGGCGTGTCCCCGATGAGCTTGAAGAAGAACAGGTGCTCCAGGCACTTCAAGCCGATGGAGCGCAGGGCGGGCAGCCGCAGCAGCAGCTTGGCGAACCTGCGGGCGGGGCCCCCCGGGACGCAGGTCAGGGGTCAGGACGCCAGCGGACACGCGTGGCCACCGGGGCAGGGGCAGTGACTGGGGTGGGGTCCGCTCTCTGGACCTTCTGTGTGGAGGAGGGCGCCCCGAGGGGGCGAGGGAGCCAGAGAATCTCCCCCACCCCGGGGGTGTCAGACTCGGGCTGGGGCCGTCTCCCCGGAGGCGGCGGTCAGACCCCGAGACCTCTAGGGAAGCTTCCCAGGACACAGGCTGACGTGGGAATTTTGGCACTCCCTGAAGACGCGTCTGTCCCTACCCTCACGCCGCCGGGACACGCGGCGGCGATATAAGAAAGGCAGATCGGCCCCAGCCGGACACGGAGGGGCGGCGGCGGGGGAAGGGACAGGAAGCGAGCCCCCAGGCGAGGCTCCTCCGTGAGAGGGTTTCATGGAATTCGGCAAAGGGAGCAGCTTCCCTATGAAGCGCGGAGTCAGACTAACTGTGAGAATATGTTTTCACTCTAAAAATGTCGGGTTTATTCTCTGTGAACTGCTGAGTGTGCGGTTCTGTGGCTCCTTGCCGTCTGGGCTGGGTTTCGGAGCTGAGAGGGGGGCTCACGCACAGTCACAGCCCCGGGACTCGGCCGAGGCTGTCCTCGCTCGCTCACGGGTAGGGAGCAGGGGGGCGGCGGGCTTTGGAGAGGCCTGCTGTGGGTGAGGGGACCGGCCGCACCCTCCTGAGCCGGCCAGAAAGCGGAGCTCAGCCCGTGGCATGCATTCTGAAGAGTGTCCACAGGGTGGCAGCACGCCACCACCCAGAAGTGGCCTCGCCCCACGCGCCACCTGCCTGACGCAGCCGCTCAGCCTCAGGGTGGTCACCTTGGGTCCGCACCCAGGGACACCAGGGCCTCGGCCTCTGCCCCCCCTCACTGAGCTCCCAGGCTCTGCCGGGGGCCAGGCAGCCCCCTCAAGGGAACACAGGTGGGTTCCAGAGTTTGTCAAATGACAGCCGCTGGAAACCAGCTCGGGGCCACCAGGGCCAGGGCTGAACAGGGCAGGGCCCGCCCGCCCTGGGAAATGCTACGGCGTCTCTGAAAACGGCCGTGTGGCGTTTTTCAGCGTCCCGCCCTCAGAGGGCTCAGGGAGGAAGAGGGGACACCACGGTGCGTGACGGACGGGAGACGCGAGACCCCCGCTTCCCCCGGGCCAAGGCCTTCGGCTCGTCGTGGGCAGTAGGGCCCACTTGGCCGCGGTCGGGACGGTGGCGGCCGCCTCACCTGCCCGGCTGCTCCGGGTACTTCTGCTTGGTGTAGGCCTCGAGCGTGGCGTAGACCTTCTCCCGCAGCGACTCCACCTCCGCGGGGTTGGACAGACCCTTGGCGTCTGGAAAGCACGGCCGATTTCAGCTCCGGGGGCGCCGTCCACAGAGGCCGCCCCCACCCACCCACGCCAGCTGCCCCGCCCCGGGAGCTCCCGGACACAGGCTGGTCGGGGAGCAGCCGGGAAACACACAGCCCTCGCACCCCGTCGACCCCCAAACTCCTGCCGCTGACTCCCGGGAGGAGCGTTCTCTCTCACCCGCGCCAGGGGCTGAGGCAGGCGCCCAGGTGGCTGCGTGGTTCACAGGGCTCATCCACCAACCACGGCGCAGCGGGCGGGGCTGCCCACCCCGCTGGGGGGTTCTCCTTGCTGGCCTGCAGGGCCCACCGGCCGGCCCTCTGGCCCCTCCCTCACTGCCCCTTCTCAAGTCCCGTCTGAATCTTCCTTCCCCACCCCCCCCCATCCGCTCCCCACCAGCCTTGCCCCACGCCCGGGGGTGGGGCTCGCTCACACCTGGCACCCAGCCCTCCCCGCACATCTCGGGTCCCGTCCTCTGAGCTGCACGCTCACAGGGACCATGGCCTCCCGGACACTAGTCCCGGAAGTCTCCCCGCCAGCTCAGACGGTGACGTGACATCCAAACACAGAGTCCTGGTCCCTAGCAGCCCCGATGGCCCCCCCTCAAGAAACGGGGGGGTCCTTTTCCCCAGCCGTGCAGGGAAACGACACAGCAGCCCCGAGAGTCGTGCTAACATTTACCACCTGTCCTTCCACGTGGGCGCACCTACGTCTCATCCATCGGCAAAACCCCCGGGTTTGCCCAGCAGTCCCTGCAGCATCTGACCACCTTTGACCCCCTCGGTCCTCAGTCCTCCACTGGTCTCCCCAGTGGCCCCCAAACACCCACATGCACGCACACTCAGGACTTGTCAAGATGGCACTGGGAGGGGCAGCAGTGCGGGGCTGACCCTCCGCCCTCCCCAAGGACAGTGTCCCGGCCCCGGTCTCCTGTCTCGGCTGAGCTGGAGGCCCGGAGGACGTCGGCGCGCTGGGGCCGCCGTGCACAGGGGCCGAGGGCCGCACCGTCACCTGGGTTAAACAGCACGATGGCCCGCAGGCAGCCCAGCTCCGACTTGTCCATCTGCATGTCTTTCATCTTGGAGACCAGCTCGGTCAGGACTCTGCACGGGAGACAGGGAGAGGCCGTGAGAAGCCCAGGTGAGGAAGTGAGCGCGACCAGCACTTCTCAGGTGCCCACCCCATTTCCAGCCGGTGCACCAGGTACGGGGGGCACAGAGAGGGGTGAGCTGCAGCCCCGACCTCGGGGCGTCACCAGGTAACTGGAGGGACAGACACTGAAACACAAAGCCACGCGAAGGCAGGGACGGCCATCGGCCAAGTCTGAGGGAACCTGGCGGGAAGCCGGTGGCCTCTGGGGGCTGGTCCTCGCACACACATGCATGCACGTGCACCCACATGCATGCACACACATGCATGCACCAGCACATGCACGCACACACGCACCAGCACACGCGTGCACCCACATGCATGCACCAGCACATGCATGTGCGCACATGCACCCGTGTGCATGCACACGTGCACATGCACCCACGTGCATGTACCCACGTGCACACGCACACACACGTACCCACGTGCATGCACCAGCACATGCACCATCACACACATGCACCCACGTGCGCGCACCCACATGCACACATGTGCACATGCACCCACACACATGTACCCACATGCACATGCACACACAGGCGTGCTGGGGGCAGAAGGGACACCTGTCGAAGATGGAGCCCACGCCGGCGCTGTGGGCGCTGCTGCGGTGCACGTGCAGGCCGGTGGCCAGGAGGATGCCGTCCTGCACGGACACGGAGCGGTGGGAGAAGGAGGCGATCAGGAGCTCGTTCCAGCCTGCGAGGACCAGAGGGGCCTTGAGGGGACCCGGCTGCCATCTCACTTCACCGACCATCATCCACCCCGCGGCACAGCCCCACGGAACACAGGCAGGGCCACAAGTCCGGGGAGGCTGAAGGCTAGTTCTGGGCGTCAGCACCGATGAGTGCGGAAACAGAGGGTGGGCCTGGGGCCCCTGTGGGAGCTCTGGGGCCCCCCGCTGTCTCTCCAGCGCGGCCCAGAGGGCGGCTCGACGACAACCACGCTATGCCCCCGTCAATCAACACACAGGGATTGAACACGTGGCAGGTCTCCAAACGTAAGAGCCTACAGGCAGCACAGACGCGAGCAACTGGGAGACTTACCTCGTCAGCGCGCGGCGCACAGCTGGGGCGGACCACGGCCCCTTGGACTGGTTTTCGGGCCCCAGGGGGCACTGCAGAGCGGCAGCCCCAGGCGCGCCCCCAGAAGCACGGCACCCCCGCGAGGGCCTTTACCTGCGCGCAGCAGGATGACCTGGTCCTCCAGGGTGAGGTCCGAGAAGTGCGGGATGCGCTTGGCCCACTCGACCAGGGTGAACAGCTGCTTGTCGGCCGCGTGGCAGATGTTGGTGACCGGGTCGCTGGTCTGCAGAGGGACGGAGCGCCGGGGGCGGGTTCCAGGACTCTCGCTCCCCGCCCCCCACCCCCACTCCAGCCGCACCCGGGAGGGGGGAGCTGGGCAGAAGCCCGGACCACCTACTGAGTTCTCCATGCTCCCGTCCCCATAGGCCTCCGTCTTCGGCTCCACCGCGAGCTCAGCCTCCAGAATGCGCTCCACGGGCATGTCCTCGTGGCCAGCGCCGCCGGCCCCCTCGGCCTCGCTCTCCGCCCGCTCCCGGCCCCGCTGCCTCTCCTCCTGCACGGCTGGCGGGCGGAGGACACGGAGACGTCACCGCACCGGACAGCAGCGGGAAGCGGGCCCCCGCCCAGCCTCCTCGTGTGTGTGCGTGTGTGTGCGTGTGTGTGACGCGGGTGTCACCTCGGTGCTGAGTCGGGCGGTCGTGGTACGCACAGGGACGCGGAGACGGCAGAGCTTGGGCTTACACCGCCGGTGTGGGACGGCGGGGGCCGGGCGCACACCCTCCCCAGCTCACGGCGCTCACAGCCCCGGGGAGTGGGCATCCCCTCTGCCCATCAGCACTCCCCCCTGCCCCCCTCGGCCCCCACGCGACCTCCAGCTGCCCCTGCAGTGAACTGCGGGCAGGCGGGGCCTCAGGGGCAGGCACGCTGCCCCGCCCCCGCCCCCCTATCTGGCCCCACACGCGGTCCTTGGCGTTCCAGTCCCATTAGCTCTGCCCCCAGCGCAGCCGCCCAGACAAGCGTCACCGGCTCCAGCTTGTCAGGGCCGCATGGGGGTCGCATAGGCAAAGGGATGGAGGAAAGTCCCGTGACACTGCGGCCCCCACGGCTGATTCGGGGGCGGGAAGGGAGCGTGGGCCCCCACCCCGGGGGCTGGGATGACCTCAGCCCCCCCACACTGACCGTCCCCACCCAGGCCCAGCGCGGCCCCCAGCGCCGTCCAGGAGGTCAGGAGGACCCCGCCCGGCCCGTGTCCCCCCCCCGCTGTGAGGACAGCGCCCCTGCGTTACTCTCCATCCCCCGGACAGCCAGGGCCCCCACCTGCCTGTTCCCAGAGCAAGGGTGGGATCGGCATCAGCACATTTTTTTAAATCCCAAGACTCAGGAAACGGTAGTCCAAAAACCACAAGTCCGGCGTGAATGGACCAGAATTATGCCTATTTTTTAAGTCAGATTGGCAAAGAATATATATACACTTCGGTGGGTGCAGAATCTTAGTAATCAGTGCATGTGTGCCATGGGATGAAAAGGAGAGAAGTCGTTTGTTGCTTCAGAGCAGTCTTCGGCGACGAAAGCGTGGTTTTCCCGGGTGGACCTGAGACTTCTCTCCTCTGTCCGGGGGAGACGGCCCTGCGGACACCCTGGCTCTCTCTCGCCGACGGGCGGGGTCACCGATCCGGTGCGCTGGCCGTCACGGTGGCGGGAGCCCCGTCCGGGGGGAGAGAGGACCGCGCCGCCGGCTCACTCCCCCTCACGGTTCCGCCCCGGAGGGTCCCCGGCAGGAGGCCCCCGAGGGTCTGCAGGGAGGAGGGTGGACCTGACCCTCTTGCTCCGGCTGCTCTCCGGCCGCGCTGTCACGACGACGCGACGTGGGAAGGCAGAGGCGGAGGCAAGACAGCACCAGGGGCCGGGACCGCGGTGAAGGCGGACAGCGCGGTGAGGACAGAGAGATTCCAGACCACTCCGAGGGAGCGGGGGCGACCCCGCCCACGGTGGGAGGCGCGGCAGAGGAGGAGGGGAGTCCCGCGGGAAGACGGCGTTTCCCGAGCCGGGGCATGTGGTGTGACGAGCAGGCGGGGCAGGCAGGTAACCAGAGCCCGGGTTTGGGTCCCTCGATGTCAGGGGGGCCGTCCGCCCGGGCCCAGCTGCGAACTGGGCGGGGAGCAGGCCCTCGGTGGGCTCCACTCGGGTCGACGAAGACCTGGTCCCTGTCATGGGGGGCCTCAGAAAACCCCCCTGTGAGCCCGTGTCCTCAGCGGCCACATGGTTAGGGTGGGGCCCACCAGGTTCCGAAGGATACTCCCCCCCCCCCCGGGACACACTAAGCTTCCAGGGACGTCACTGGTCTCCAGGGCAGCCTCCCCTGTCCCCAGGGCTCACAGGCTGTCCTCCGTCCCCCGTCAGTGAGCCCCTCTCCCCGCACAGCCCAGCCCCGCAGGGCCCAGCAGGGCCCAGCAGCCCCCGGACGGACGGACGGACAGAGCAGGTCCGAGGCTCCCCCTCCCCGGGGAGCCTGTGGAGGGGGAGTTGCCATGGACACAAGGAACCTGGCGGAGCTCCCCGGTCACCTTGCTGCCCTTCAGCTGCTCCGTGGGGTTGGGCGGAAAGGCTTTTCCGTCTTAGGAAGGAACAGGAAGCACCTTCGACGGTTTTCCTCGCTCTGCCACAGGGCAGCTGACCCCCACCCCCACCCCGTACCCAGGAAGATCTTAGGGTGCGCCAGGGCACCAGGGTTGTCTCTCTGCAGACATGGACGGCCAAGGCTGCGGAACCCTAAGGCCGCCCACCCCGAGACCACGACGCACGCACACCGTCGCAGGGGACCCGCAGCCGGCCAGGCTCACGGGAGCCCAGGCCCTGGGATCCGGGGGCTTCCCCGGAGGGAGACGTCGGCCGCACCAGGGTCAGTCTGCAGTGTCTGCATGGGGGGCGTGCAGGGGGGCTCCAGGCCCCCGGGCTCTCAGACTTGCAGTCTGACCACCTGAAGGGGCCCTATGGGGCCCCTCCTCCAGGGCGGATGCGGAGACGGAAGCCGCCACTGACCCTTTGCTGTGGTGACACGAGTGATCACAGTGCTCGAGAAACCGCCGTCCGCGAAGTCCCCTCCCAGCCGCCGCCCCCGGAGCCCGGGCCCGCAGGCTCCGCCTACCTTCGCGCTTCATGCCCATGACCAGGCACTTCTGGTAGCGGCAGTACTGGCAGCGGTTGCGCTGGCGCTTGTCGATGAGGCAGCCCTTGCTGTCCCGGCAGGTGTACAGCAGGTCCTTGCGGATGGTCCGCTTGAAGAAGCCCTTGCAGCCCTCGCAGCTGTACACGCCGTAGTGCTTGCCTGCAGGGGGCGGGGCCGGGGGCGGGGCCGGGCGCTCAGGGCGCGGTGGCACCACCCCCTCCCACGGGAACTTCCCCCACCCACCCCCCCGAGAGTCACCGGGGCAGAAAGCGGCACCAGCCCAGCGCCCCAGCCGGCGCCCGAGTCCTTCACGCCCAGACGGGCCCCGCACAAGGGGAAGAGGCTCAAAGAAGATGGAATCGGCGAAAACACTCGTGTCTGCCCCTGGAAACAGCTAGAACCCTGGGGCGCTAGAGACAAGCCTGCCAGAATAGGAAGGGGGTGCGTCTTTCCCGGGACAGCAGAGACAGCTTTCTTTAGTTTCTCTGGTGCTTTTCTAGTTCTTCAAAATTTTCCATAAATTGGGACATTATTTTCAGAATTATAAAAATCATCGTTTTTTTTAAATCATCCCCCGAGGCTGTGTTTTTATTAGTTTTAGAGCAAGAAAAAGGGGGAGAGAGGGAAATATCGGTTGGTTGTCTCCCATTTGCACCTCAGCTGGGGATTGAACCCACAGCCTGGGTATGTGCCCTAACTGGGAATCGAACCTGTGACTTTTCTGGGGTACGGGACGACACTCGGGCCCACTGAGCCACCGGCTCAGAGAACATCTTTTCTGTGATTAGAGAAAGTGTATCTTGTGACCACCAGCCAATCAGAACAGCGTCTCTGTCCCAGGTACACACCCCACGCGGCGACTCCGGAGGGAGGGGCTTCGGAGAGGTTCCCTATCAGTCCAACCCTCAACCCCGAGGTCCGGCTTTCGGTTCATCAGGACTCGCAGCCGGGGCCCCAGCTGGCCCATCCGAACGGGCCCCGGTCCGTCCATCGGGAACCGAGCAACGGAGGGGCCGGGCGGCCGAAACTCCCGCGGGCCGCCCGCGCCCGGGGCGGCGGGGCGGGGCCTCCGCGCGTACCTGAGGACCGGTCCCCGCAGATGGCACAGATGTGCTTCACCAGGGACCCCGGGCTGGTGGACGGGTAGCTCAGGTTGCCGACCCCCGGGAGCCCCGGCAGGGGCTTGACGTCTCCGGAGAGGCCGGCGCTGCTGACCACGTTGAGCTGCAAGAGGGGACGGGAGGCGATGACGCCCAGAGCTGCGCAGGCAGCCCCGGCCCCCAGGGCCGAGGCCGAAAGCCACCAGGGCGTCCTCGAGGGAACGCGAGCTCCGCTGCGAGAAGTAGTTTCCGAGCAGAGAGTGTCTGAGAAACGTGTGGCCACGATAGGAACTGGGGGGAGGAAAAAGCAGGGACGGGAGGTCTGAGCCCTGCGGGGGGCCGGGCCCGGCCCAGCCCGGCAGTCACAGCACCCCGGCCTCTGTGCTTCGGCTCCTGGGACTCACGTGTCCCTCCCGTCGGAGCTAGAAACCCGCACAGCCTGGCGCACCCGGCAGGAGGCCACGGCCCGAGTTTCAATGTCGTGTTGGGGGCTGAGGTCGCTCCGGGAGGGGCCACGGCCCTCGGGCAGGAGGCGGACCCCAAGGGAGCCGAGGAAACTCGCACATCCGCTCATCCGGTCGGCAGGCAGACACCCCTGAGCCGGCCGGACACAGGCCGGTCCCCCGGAGCCCCCGGTGGGTGCAACGGGAGAGAAGAGAGCATTTCACCGGCCGCCGAGGAGGCGGAGCCAACTGCCCAAGCGCGTGAGAAGCGGGGAGAGCGCCCCGGCCGCGTTTTGGAAGGAACCGGTGATCTTCCCAGGGAAGCACAAAGTCCAAGGAGCCGGAGACGGTCGCCTCTGTCTTCCCGGGGCCCGTCGGGGCCTGGCCGGAGCTGGGGAGCCGGCGGTGTGAGCGTCCGAGCCTGTGACCCTTCCGGGCACCCCCTCTGCTCCCCGAGTGCACCCCTGTGGGCGTCAGCCCCCGCCACCCACCCGTGTCCCCCGGGGAAGAAGCCGCTGCCGAGGGTTTCGTGCTCGCCCAGGAAGACGGGCTAGCAGGTTCCCAGCTGCAGCAATACCTGGACCCGAGGGAGCAGGCGCCCCGGCCAGGTGAGGGAGACCCGTCTCTCGTCCCTCGAGACTGCGCAGTGTCATCGAGGACCCAGGACGGGCACCAACATCGACAACACGCACGAGAAAACTCAGGTGAAGGGGGTGCGGGGCGATTAAGTGGCCCGAGGAGGCAGCTGGTGACGATGTGGGGGTCGACGGGAGGCCCCCGACTTCTGCACGGCCCCTGTGAACTGTGAGTCCCTGTCACCTAATCAAGTGACCGCACCGCTCGCACAGAACCACAGCTGGGACGGAAGGAGCGATCGGTAAAGCGTAAAACACGACAGAGCCTCACTGAGCGAGGTTCCTTCTACGTTTGGTGGCTTTTCAAGTCACCGAGCCAGTGTTCACCGAACACAGGGGTGGGCGGGGCTGCCGTGAGCAGGCAGAAAAAAAGGCAGCCTCGGTGACCGCGCCGGGCCGGCTGCCTGGCCGGGGACAGCGGGTGGGGGCCGGGAGCCGACAGGCCGCCACCGGAGGGTGTGGGCGGGGGACCGAGGCCTCCACTCTCCGCCTCGGGCAGCAGCGCGAGGAAAGCCCACGCCAGCGGTGGGGAGCAGCGGTGGGGACCGGCGCGTGCCCACGCCCCGCCCACGGCCCTGTCTCCGTCCACGCCCACCCTGTGGACTTGCTCTGGAGAGAGAGCAGCTGCTGTCTGCAACTCCGCCGTTCGTCCGTTCGGCTTTCGTGTGGTGTGCCGGCGTCACGGTCACTGCCGCGACGGCACAGACCTTGGCCACCTGACTCAGAGCTCGGCCCGGGCCCAGGGCAGGGTCTCGGGGAGCGTGCAGCCCGAGGGCCTCACGCACTGGCGTCTGGGTGGTCGGACTCCCTCTGCAAACCGTTACCATGTCTCAGAGCCTCCACACCCTCTCCCTCCTCACCTGTCCCCGGGAACCCACTGACACGAAGGACGTGAGTCCACCAGCTTGGGCAGGAGGGGAGGGGCTGCTGACCGTGGTGGGGGGAGAGGGCACCTACCTGAGAGCTGGGCGGGGCCACCAGGTTGACCCCGGGAGGGGCCGCCAGCGCGCCCGAGGGCGGGCCCATGGCCGACGTGATGACGCGGTAGGGAGAGCCCAGGGCCGCCAGGGGGGTCCCCACCGCGCTCAGCGTCCGAGGAGCGCTCCCGGGGGTGTCCGTGTAGCTGGGGTGGCTCTCCATGGGCTTCCCGCTGGGCAGGGCTGCCGACGGGCTCATGGACGGGGAGCCAGAGTGGCTGGGGGCACCTGTGGGGAGAAAGTGTGGGTGGTGGAGGGGGCTGGGGAGGGCCGACTGGCCCTGTGGGGTTCGCCTCCTGGGCCCGGCCCTGCCCTCGGTGAACCAGGCACTCGCCCCCTTGGGGAGCTGGTAGCACGAAGGCCGGCGAAGAGCAGGGACGGGGGAGGGCTGCCCGGAGCAACCGCGCTCGCTGACGTGCTGGCTCTCCGGGCCCCACCTGCAACCACCATCAGGGGCAGGTCAGCCAGGGCCACGGGGCCTGCCCACGGGTGCCCAGGCCTGGGCCACTGGGGCCCGGGCCAGGGAACACGAGCCACCACCAACCCCCAGGCGTCAGGGGAAGGCAGCAGGTAGGCAGGCCGCTCCGGAGTCCCCGGCCTCAGAGCCATGCTGCCGCCGTGACAACAGGCTGAGCCTGCGCATCGGACACCCACGCAGGCGTTGTGGCCGCAGCGAGCACCCACGGAGGTGCCAGGGCCTGTCCCAGGGGCTGGGACGCAGAGCCCGAGAGCACACAGCTCTCCCGCCGCCCCCTCCAGGGCCACCACCGATCCGTCCCGTCTCCAAGTTCAGTTTTCCGCTCCCACGGGCAGACACCGGGGCTCGCCCGACCGGGACGGCGGCGCCAGCCTCCCGCTCGCCCTCCTGTTTTCACGGCCACGTGGGAGCCACCATGGCCAGGACCTGAAGGTACCGTACGTTTGCCCGAACCCTGGTTTCTGGCGCAGACCCGAGGTCAAGGTTTTCTCTGCTGCTGCCTCTGGTCCGCGGTTTGGTTCCACGAGCCTCGGCAGCCCCTCGGCCTCGCTGCTCCCGGGCACCTGCCCTCTCCCCCCTCGGGCCCACCGCCGGCCGCCCAGGAAGTGCACCGCTCTGCACCCGCACAGTGGGACGCTCCTCGTCAGACGCACGCTTTAGGAAACTAGCCCTCTCTGATGGGGGAGGGCTGGTGGGCTTTCCCTCGTGACTCTTCCACGCTCCTGGGCCCCCCCCGCCCCCCAGGAAGGCTCCCCCCGCCCCCGTGTCGTGAACACAGAGAGGACAGGCTGGTGGCATCTACAAGAAGCAGGTGCGAGTGGCGGTCTGGGATCGTCGGGGTCCGATCCAGGAGCCCAGTTGTGACTGGGCCTTGTCAGGCTTTCCGGCTCTCAGAGGGTCGCCAGGAACCACAGCCGCCGAGACTCTGCAGGGGGCCTCCGCCACCGTGGCGTCTGAAGTCCCCGAGGGCTTCGGGGCACCGGGGCGGCGGGAGGCCAGTCCACGGGAAGACAAGGCTGTGAAGCCAGATGCCGCAGGCTGGATTTGAACCTCCAACCACAGATCCCATGTCCACCAATGGAGGTACTCGCGGCCTCTGGCCCGGGGGTAGCAGCCAGGATCTCTCTAGACTGGGACGGTGCAGGACAGGGGCCGTGGCTGGCCTGGACTCCGTGGCAGACCGTGGGCCTAAGGATTCGGCCGGGCCAGGCCGCCGGCAGAAGCTCCATGATGGGTGGCCACTGCTGACACAGGCAGGGGTGGGGACACAGCACGTTCATAGCATTGACCTCTCTGAATCGCTTAGGAAGTAGTCGCAGCTCTGGCCCCGAGAGCCCCTGCCTCGTCCCAGCCACCCCCGCTCCCCCAAGGCCCCCGGGGCTCCTCATGGTCCGGAACGACACCCAGGGGTCCTCCACGCCGATGTGCATTCTGAACGCCCGCTGCCCCACTGGCCGTCACCGGGTTCCAACCCCCTCCCCCGGCTGCACCACGGGATGCGCAAAGAGCATCTGCTGACTAATCCAGGCGTGGGCGCCTTTTTTTTTTTTTTTACTGTTGCTCATTAATGTAAGTAACCGTAGACAGAGTTCGCCCATAGAAACTATTTGCCTGAGAAATCTATGTCTCTGGTGTTGAACCAAATGCAAACCTCCGAAATCTCCGAATAAGGAGTTGTGTGTGTGTGCTGAAGAGGCACTTGTTGAGAAAGAGGAGCTGGGCTCTTCCAACTACAGAATTCTAACCAAGGTGAGGGAGTTGCTTAGCAACGTCGTCCTCAGCCAATGAAAACAAAATGCCACGCATGGGCCTTTCTGATTGGCTGGGCGGGAGCAAATGGCCTTAGCGGTGGCGCCCGGGCAGAGAGTTTGCTGTCCCATTAGCAACCTTGCTCGGGATGTTTCGTGCCCACCCAGGGGAAGGGGACAGAGGGAAACGCCCACAGGGGGCGCCACCTTTCCGGCCCTGGAGGGACGTGGTGCCCAAGCCGGAGGACCACAGCTATCCTCACACCCCGCCTGTGCTCAGGCGCTCGGGGAACCCCCGCAGCCTCGCCCTGCAACACGCAGACAGGCCGCTCCGCGAGGTCGGCGGGGCCCTGCCACCTGAAGGCCCTGTCCTGTCACCTCCTCCCCGAGCCACAGCAGCAGCTAACGTTCGGCGAGCGATCACCGTGCACCGGACACGGCTCTAAACTCCTTAGGTACATGGTCGCGTTTCGTACCCACAAACGTGAGGCTGGGACTCCTCTCGCTCCCGGACAAACGCAAACGTTCGGGGACAGAGAATTATATGGCCTGCTCACGGGGGAATGCTGACAAACGATACTGCTGGAGTGTGGCTCTCAGGGAAAAGCAGCAGGTGCGGGTTCTAATCCCAGCCCCGCCAGGAACCGACTGTCTGGGCGGCCCCTTCTTTTTAAATCTGCAAAAGATTTCTTTGGGGGAAGCAGAAATCTGGACAAAGCATGTTGAGCTTTTTAGGAAAAGCCTGTGCAACATTTCGTTGTTTCTTCCTGATACATTGACAACCTAGAAACAAGGAGGGAAGTCTCTCGTTACGTGACTTGAAATACCCTGCTGTGTGAGGTGTAAGCTGCAAACTTGGCGAAAGTTAGAATAAGAAACAAATGATTCTAAAATATGCAAAAACCCTCTAAGTTATAGTTTTCTTGGTACATATACAGTCGCTATAAAACATTTTTCATTTAGAAAAAGCGTTCTTTTAAATTTTTGTGAATCTCCATAGGCAAGTGGGAAAATGCATTTCAAAGACCCACGGCAGGCAGAGCACCCCCCCACTCACCCCCGTGGGGAGAATGGGCTGACTCCCGCTGCTCCCTCTTGACCCCCCCCCCCACTGGATTTCCGCTCCCCTCCTCCCTCTCCCAGTCAACCAGGGCCCCTCTCCGGACTCTGACCTGGCACTTTCTGACAACCACCCTCCCCGTCCTGGCCCAGCCCCTCACCACAATTCCTTCCCAGCTTTGGCTCCCTCCTCAGGGCTCCCCACTCAGCCCAGCCCCCCTCCCCCCGTCTTCCGCAGGAGCCAGGGCGCTGCAACCCGCCTTTTTAATGTTTTTTAATGTTCGGATGGTTCTCTGCATTTCCAAGGGCACTTTCACACGGACGTCTGAGCTGCACAGCCCCCCCCCCGCCCCGAGCTTGGACAGGGAGGGCTGGCCGGGCCACAGAGCTGTGCTTGAGGACATGCCTGCAGAGCCAGGACACCAGGACCCGAGACACAGGAGCCCCAGGGTGCGGGCAGCGGAGGTGCAGGCTGCCCCTTCCAAGGGGAGCCCCTCCATGGGGACATGAAGGAAGGAAGACCCTCCCTGTGCCCCAAGCTCCACCCCCAGGCCACAGGCGGGAACAGGAGGATGCAGAGTGGCGGATGGGCCGACCCCTGCGTGCAGCACTGACCACCAGGCGGCCAGCCTTTCAGAGTCCACAGGGGCAGCTCCGATTGCCCAAAGGAGGCCTGGCGGGCTGCCCGTGCAGGGTGGGGGTGGGGCCACAGCTCCCAGTGCCGGGAAGAGAGGGTGGGGTCCCCCTTCCCCTCCCCTCCCCACCTCCCCCTCCCCTGAAACCTGGAATGATGGAGAGAGTGAAAAGCAGGCAAAGATTGATAATCAGCCTCATTATCACCAACATTATATATAATTATAGCAAAACCTCACTCATCTGGATCAATTGAGAGAAAAATCCATCTAAATTCATGACAAGTTGGCAGATTACTTTTAAATTACAATTTTATTACTTCTAAGTAACACACGTGAAGAGTTTGTGTTTCAAGTACCGAGAGCTAATGGTTATTAAGTGGGGATTTTATAAAATCTGCTCTAAAAGACTCCTTTGTAATTAACACCCCGTTAATATGCTAATGACGCTCCTACCGTGCTTTCTAAATTGCTTGAAAACAGATGCAATTTAAACAGGCTCAACACTTCTGCAATCTTATTTGCTTAACCAACCTTTTGGGGATTTATTTTTATTTATTTTTTGATGAATGAGCAAATACAAACCTGTTCATACTATGACAATTTAATCACCCTTCCAAGTTAATTACGTCATAAATTAATAAGGCCATACTGCTTTAGGTTGGAAAGCAGACTTTTGAGACTTGAAGAACCACCTCGTTTTATAGAAGAGAAAATAATTCCAGAGAGGCGGCCGATTTGCTCGAAGCCACACCAAGCAGAGACCCTGGGTCTTCCTGCTCCCAAGTTCAAGCTCATTTCACCCCCTGAGTGCCACTGCCTTCCAAGCCCACGACGCCTTCTAACGCCATGCTGCTATTTTCCGTATCATCTGGTTCAGTAAAAAAAAATATTTGTTGGGCGTTTACTACGCGCCAAGCCCGTGCCGGGCACGGCAGAGATGGGGGTCCCTGCCACGAGAGCCCCGGTCCTGTGGCCACGGTCACTTCGTTCACACTCCAGACGAGCTCGGAGCGGTCAGTAAGTCCGGAACCGTCCCCACGAAGGTAGGAGCCAGGTCCAGAAGGTTAAAGCGAGCCCTCCCCAGGGCCTGCTGTGAACGCCCGCGGGCCGGGACGCTGAGTCCAGGCCAGCACAATGTCCAGCCACGTTTCTGCGTGCGACTCACAGCCTTTGGCTGGCACCCCTCCCCGCCCCCCGCCCAGAACCAAATTATGAACCTTGATGGGAACCTTGACACTGTCCCTAACACGTGAGAGGCATGGGCGGACAAGGGGCGTCCCCACATAGGAAACAGCCCTGTCCCTTATA